CAGGTGTCGGCACTTCCTGTCCGTGTGGCACCTGCTAGACTGATTGTTGTTCCCGCCCCTGATTGTGTACACCTGTGCCCCATTACCTAATGTGTATATATAGTCCTTCTCTCCCTATGTCTGTTGTTGGCTCGTCTTGTCTTGTCGTTATATCCATGCCTGTTTGCCAGAGGTCTATGTTACATTACCTAGTAGAACCTAGTGATTCTATGGAGAGTCCTAGTAGAACCTAGAAGTCTTTTTTGATAGCTTTGAGTTCTTTGCAAATAAAGAATATTACAAAGTAACGGAATCGAGCATCTGAGTTCTTACGAGCCCATCGTATCACACGGTCCGATCGTCCCCCAATCTTCACCTGTATATAACCTCTCCATGCCTCAACAGCTCTACATCAAATCTGATATCTCACTATATGCCGTTTCCATGAAAACGCATCCGTCGCCAAAACACACGATGTGTTGTGATACCTATGCAAATGGTAAAAACAGCACCAGACTTCAGATAATGGTTAATGGTCCGGCCCTCATTAGCTCTTTGCCAATTATGTGGTGTCATCATATGCCGTTTCCATGGAAATGCATCCCTCGCGATAAAACACGATGTCGCTGTAACTCCAATGGACACGGTCTGATCGTCCCACAAACTTCACTTGTATATTACCGGTCCATGCCTCAACAACTCTAGGCCAGATCAGAGATCTCACCATAGGCTGTTTCAATGGAAACACATCCCTCGCCATAAAACACGATGTTGTCGTAACTCATATGAAAATGGTCAAAACCACACCAGACTTCAGATGACAGTTAAGGGTCCAGCCCTCAACATGTCTATGTGCCATTAGTGAGTTTTCCTGAAAATCTGTTGCCATGACAACGCATCCCTCGCCGTAAAACACGGTATTGCTATAACTCCTATGAAAATCGTCAAAAAGTGCTCAAACTTCACGTGTGCTAACAGTCCAGCTGTGAAGACATCTACGTGACAGTTTTCAGATTTATTCAAATGCCGTTGCCATGGCAACACAATGCTCGCAATGAAACACGGTTTTCTCATAACTTCAGTGAAAATGAAACCCGGTTTTCTCATAACTTCAGTGAAAATGCTCCAAACGGCCCAAGAAGTTTGGTAACGATGCAGCCATCAACACATTTAAGCGTATTATGGGGTGTCATCAAATGCCGTTGCCATGTTCAAAAGTTTGCAGTTCAAATATTCTGCTGCTTTTCCAAGCCTTTTTACTTTATTTTCTTCTATTATCACACATTCAAGCCCCCAGTGTTCAAGTATAATTTACCATCTAATTCCTCTCACTTTCTTCTTACACTTACAGTTGCAACTTTTCAGCAAAGCATTCGGCACTTGCAATTTCTTCAGGAATTGGCATTCTCCTAGTTTGAATGTCCCCTGTCTGCCATGTGTTCATATAGATTTATAAACCATAGTCACAGTTATAACTCGTATACTCGAGCAGGTATTCAACTAAATTCAGCGAGGTCAGATACGACGACCTAAATCTCGCGCATGGCAAAGGTCCGGCACTCATGTCTACCTTGCTTTATGAATTAGTGTGATATATTGAGTAGCCTGTAGCTGTATCACCGTCTGCATTTAATGCAACACTGACTGCA